GATGGCATTTCAGTGCAGGGGACAAAAATATGTTCTTTCCCATCACTTCGTATACAAAATTCAGGGCTCCGTTACTTTCCCCACATTTCAGAATAAATGATTCTCAAGGCAAACAGTAACAATTCTTTGAGCAGGAAAATTTGGAAAAACTAAACGCATGTTTAAGAAAGTCAAAGACTCCCTGGTTCTTGAATAATTAAGCCGAACTCCAGATTTTTGTTAAAAAATAGAAGGAGAAAAGAAGTCCATTAGTGGATACTAAAATGGGTAACAGTTCCTACTTTCAGTACTATTGAAGCAGCTTCTACCAATTACAATGCGTAGTTTCGGTTGTTGTATAGCACCATTAGCAATCTGTCATCTGTAGCAAGTTTCCAAAACTAAAATGGCAGATTAATTTATAGCTCTAGAGAAGCTGCTCTGCTAAACTTCACTTAAGGCCATTACCTGCCAGACAGGGCATTTTTTTCTTGATCTACATATGTTGAATGAAATACATGTGTAAGAATCTTTTAAAGTGACACATAAGCATTTTCATGCATAGTTCAATAATTAGTTCAAAACTTTCCTAAAAAAAAACAAAACACTAATAGAAGGCACGGAAATATTTAGTGATAATATATTCGTTTTCCTAGGAAATACTTTACCAGCTGGTGGTAAAGAAGCAACTGATTCAGGGTGGTCTTTGATTATTCTCTCTTCTTAGTTGTATGCCCTCTTTTCTCAACCTATTAGTTAGTAATTCTATGTTGTGTAAAGTCTAAGGATGCTGGTTGCAAGGGATTTATTTGTATTATGGATTACACTGTATTGAACACATATGGAACTCATTCATTAAAGATTTCTGAAGTGACAGTTTCAACATCATGTCTTAATGGTAATATTCTTATTCTTAATAAACACTGACGTGCCGTCAATTACTTCAGTAGGTACTTTTTAAACCAGAATCTAATTTAACAATTTATAGCCTAGTTCAAAACAAACTATGAGATTTAGAATGTGCTCATTTCAACCATGAATGCAGAGTGAATGTTCTTTAGTGTGAAGCTCTAACTTATCCATTCATTCACTTCGCCCTGGGAGTGGAAGAATGAGGTATCTCCGTGATTCTCACGATTACCTACATAAAACTCTACTAGCTCTTTCTCACCAGAGACAAGATGAATGCTAACTACTTTTATTAAATTACAGGATTCATGCAGATGTAAGATACAGCTAGCTACTTTATATCTGTAGGGTTTTTTGGTTACAAGCAATAAAACTGGATCAGGCTAACTTCAGGAAGAGATTTTGTTGAGAGGGTATCAGAAGCTTGCACAACTGATGGGAAGCTGCACACCAGATATGGAAATGGACAAGCACAATTTTTCTCCTTTTATAAAACTGACATTTTTGCATTCAAACACAATTTAGCTAACACACCCACTGCCTTACATATTTTACTACTGTTGAGAATTTTCTTTTTCCTTAGTTTAAATCAGAGTTTACTGTATTATAGCTAAGAAAACTATAAGGCAGTATCACACTTTTAAAAATATGATTCCACTGAAATAATGTTGGGTGTCAATCCTTTATAGAGATTGGTCCTCCATCATAATGCTGCTGAGAAACTACATCTAGTTCACGTGACTAATTCTTCTGAATATATCATTTCTGTGGTGTAAACTTGTTGGAAGACAGGCAAAGTTGTTATAATGGCTTATCTGGGATAACAATTTAAGGTCCTTAAATAATGGACCTACACTTGACATATGGACTACTGAATACTTAAAAGTATGGACTTGTGGAATTCTGCCTTCATTTAAGAAAAATGGATAAAAGAATGCCATGTCTCTCAGATAATTCATAGGTAATGACAAAGAAAATAATTAAAAATAATTCCCCAAAATAAGTAAGGCAATTTATATACTTAAAAGCAGTTGAATCAATATAAACCACTCCAGGGGCCTTAGTCGTTACATTGTACTCAGATAAGTAACATCCATTTCTGATTCTGAATTGTGTGCTCATATTGTTGATGCCACTTGATGCTTGTGACTTGATGCTTGGTTTTTTCCTTCACATCTTTACTTATGCAAACCCCCACCCTTCTTATCAGTCAGAAGTGTGTTCAGCTGTAACAGAAATCTGACAAACGGTGGCTTAAAAAAGAATTTATTATTTAATGCACCATGGCCTCTGGGAGTAAACAGTCCGGGATCCAGACTATTTTCCTACGTGGTTATCTTTAGCATATATATATTTTTTCCCTTTGGTCATAAGATGGCTGTTGTGCCTTCTGGCATCAGTTTATGTTCTAGACAGGAAAGACGAGAAAGGAAAAGCAAAACATACTTGCCAAAGGAGTCTGGCCACTTTTCCCAGAGAAAGAGCCTTCTTAAAAGCCTCACTCAGTAGACTATCTTTGACACCTCAGTGGCTAGAACTGGGTTATGTGGCCACTAAAGGCTGACGAGAATTTGAGGAGTCCCTGTTCATAACTGTATACCACTACCTTTAAAAACCCTGGGATTCTATTAGTAGGGTAGAAGGACAGATTTAATATTATATAGGCAATTAGCACTGTTTGCCACAATTCTTCAGTGCTAGATGAAGAACTACGGTCTTTACATAGTCTGCCCTATTTCTACATGTTCCCTTCTCTAAATGCTCTGAGCGATGACAGGCTGAGTCATGTATTATGACAATCATATGCTACCTTGTACAATGCACTAATTTCTAAATACATATTTAGACTCATCATCCCATAAGTCCTTGAAAATAAGAGTCAAATTTTATAATATTTCTGTATCATGTAAATATGATATTTGATTTATTCATGAGTTTACTCATGAATTCATCTCAATCCTGGTTCTCTAGAAAAGCAAATAATAGCTAATCATTGTTGCTCTAAAGGTGATTTCATTCTTGACTACTCCGTAAGCAATCTGGCTACTCTCTCAATTGCTTTAAGTCTTACTGGCTCTCCACTATATTCCCTAAGCTTATAGCTTTCCTAACAACATTACGACAATAAAACAAAACAAATGAGACAAGCACAGTCCTGTATTATAGCAAAGGTCTTAAAGAATGAGGTATATTTTAAACTAACTGTAAATTTAGCACTGAAATAACTGTGGCACAAATCAATTATGAAAACTATTTTGCATCTCTTTCCATGTTGATTTTCCCTCTCAAACATGTTTTCCAGTTAGGAGAAATGAAACAGTGCAACTTTCTCGACAAATAACAAAGTGCTCCCCTCACTACAATGTCTTTTTTAAAAATATCTTTATGGGGTGCCTGGGTGGCTCAGTTGTTAAGCGTCTGTCTTCGGCTCAGGTCATGATCCCAGGGTCCTGGGATCGAGCCCCGCATCGGGCTCCCTGCTCCAAGGGAAGCCTGCTTCTCCCTCTCCCACTCCCCCTGCTTGTGTTCCCTCTCTCATTGTCTCTCTCTGTCAAATAAATAAATAAAATCCTTAAAAATAAAAAAAATATCTTTACGGTTATCTTTTCTTAGACATAAATGTGGAGAAAACCACTGGTCTAAAATGGAAGCTCTACAGCCCAAAGAAATGGTTATTTATTAATTTATGAAGGCGTATTTTTCTATTAATATGTTATACATGTCATAAAATATGTACTATTTAAAGCTAATGTGATTGAATAAGAAAATCCTGGTTTAGTACTCTGAGATACACTGGTTTGGCTCTAGACGTAGTTTAACATTTGGTTTTGATGGCTGTCAGAGCCGAAAAAGATACCTCAAAATCATGTAGATGAAATCTGAAACACAGCATAGTTAGCTCTACTTACTAAATCAGGAGGCTTGTTTTTCAATTTCTCCCATAGGTTAAGTTCCGTGAAATTTTGAAAACACTGAATTGAGTATTATGTGACACTAAAACTCTGTGAAAAAGTTGCAATCTTTTACAGTTAGGTTTGGTGTTTTTGGAAGATGCAAGAAGAAACAGGAGGCCGGATCATGGAGAGCCCTAGAGGCCGCTGCACTCAGGCTTTCCTGTGTGACATGGAACCATTTCAAGGTTTTATGCAGAGAAGCGATAAAATCTGACTGAAGTGTGAAAAAATGACTTTGCAGTGCAAGAGTAGAGGTAAAGATACTCGTTAGGGGGCTTGTGAAGAAGGCCAGGCAAAAGCTGACAGTGGCTTAGTCACTGGTGATAGCAGTCGAGGTGGTCAGAATCTGGATATTTTTTAAAGATCGATTTCCCTATACATTGGACAGAGGGAGAGAGAGGTAATTGTTAAAAGTTTTAGCTTCGGGGTGCCTGGGTGGCTCAGTTGGTTAAGCAACTGCCTTCAGCTCAGGTCATGATCCTGGAGTCCCTGGATCGAGTCCCGCATCGGGCTCCCTGCTCGGCAGGGGGTCTGCTTCTCCCTCTGACCCTCCCCCCTCTCGTGCTCTCTCTCTCTCATTCTCTCTCTCTCAAATAAATAAATAAAATCTTAAAAAAAAAAAAAGTTTTAGCTTCGATATCATTCTACTGGGCAGGGTTCTCTGATCCATGAGGACTTGATTAGGTCCCATCCCGTGTGCCTCTGTAGCACCCTGTCCCACTTCTCTCTCAGCACTCTCACGTGTGGCAATTTCTGGCTTTTCCCTTCTCCTTCTTAGGCTCTAATCCTTGGCAGTGTAGGGATCATGTCTATCTTATGTATAGTATATACTTAGTATGTAAATGTTGAATAAGCACTTGTTAATGAGTGAATAGAATAAGTAAAATCTTTACAATAGAACTCAGTAATACTGTTGGCAATGAAGATACTGTGAAATTCTTTCTTGGTGTAAGACTGTACAATATCTTCTTATTTTTCTAGAGTGGTACATCACCAATTCTATAAAATAGTTCATCATCACTTATATTTTATTAAGAATTATTGTAGTTAAATAGTAGTATCTTCCTTAGCAAATGGTAGTAGCTCTTAAAAGACTTTATCAAAGCATCTAATATTTTTCACAGCCTAATGCATGAAAAAGTCTTAAGAACCTAAAGTATATATGAGAATTGCTATGACTTATTTTATGTGTCATCTTTGCGCAGAGGCCATGCTAATCTTCTCTGTGTCAGTCCAATTTTAGTATATGTGCTGCCGAAGCAAGCATTGACTGATTTTATTTTAAATGTGAGATTGGCAGATTGTATACTATTAGACACTAATAGGTTGAGTGTAAAAATAAAACAATTACAGCTTCAGGGATGGGAGCTGGGAACATTCCTGTCTTGATTGTTGACAATGCAGTTCAAATCTCTATAGAACAGATCTACTGACAGTCCTTTGTTAAGTTTTTGCTTAGTTTTGTACAGTATATACATATTCTGAGAAAAGTTCGTGAAACAGAGCTTTAAAAGCCTAAAGCAAAAGAGTAGCACAGCTTTTCATGATTCAAAACCTGGTAATGAAGCCATTAATTAATTTAGCTCTTCACATACTCTTTGTGCTTGCTATGTATGAGCCTAAAAAAAAAAACTAATACCTTATCACTAAAATAATTTTTGTTAGAAACTTTGATGCAAAGAAGATAAGTATCTAAAAAGAGCAGAAAGAACCCTCATGAGACACTGGGTGTCATATATTCTGTGTAAAAAAATCCTTCTGCATTATCTGCTTAGAAGTGAATTACACGTGTACTTAGCCAATGCTGTCTATCTCTTAAGTTTCTCAGGGTGGTTTCACCATGAGTTTACTGCCTCGAAGAATTGGTTTTCAGCTGTCTAGGTACAGACTTCAGATTTGCCAAAATACTAAGCACAGATCTTTCTCTCAAAAGAAGACTTGTAGTAACTCACGTTCACAAGACTGTCTATAAAAACTTCCCTATACTGTAAACAAATCACAATCAGAAAGCTGCCTAATAAGGAGAGGGTCTGAGCAAATGGTGTTAGATTACATAAATGTTTACTGGCATTTCTTCATTCAGGAAACAAAATTTTCTTGAACATCTGCTATGTGCCAGCTTTATTCTGAGTTATTGAGAATACAGTGGTGAACGAAACAGATGAGGTCCTTTCTCTCTTGGAGCTTATACTTTAGTGAGGGAGACAGGCAATCAACATGGATTTTTGTTTTTTTATTGATGCGTCGCTTAGATGCATCTTAGATGCCACTTAGAGCACTGCCTCATACACATTAGGTGTCTGATGATATTTAATGAATAAATAATGCAATATAAACTATTAAAATAGTTTCAGATAATGATATGGGGTAGGAAGAAAATATAATGGGGTCATGATATGATAGAGTCGGATTAGCAGGAGAGAGGGTAGCCTACCTAGATTGGTTGGTGTGTAATAGGTTAAATTACTATTTGGCAACTATTAACCCATTCTTTTTCCCCACGTCCATGGAGGATTAGTTTTCCACTCCACTGATGTTGAATTTGACCATGAAACATGCTTGGCCTCATGGTGGGTGCAATGTACTTCTCTGCCTTTTGAACTTGGGCTTGGCTGTATGACTTGGTTTGGCCCACAAGATGTCAGAGGTGACACAGTCAGAAGCTCCCAGTGGTCCTGTATTTGGGTTTTTCCTCTTGCACTTGTGCCACTGATGCAAGAAGAACATGCCCTGGATAGCCCATCATAGATACCCTCTGAGTTTGGGAAACTTTGTTCAAGTGGTTTAATTTCTTCCACTAAATTCAAGAACTTTGATGCTTGAATGTCTGTGCTATTTCATTAATCTGTTGACTACTAATGTCAGGTTCTTAAATATAAAAGAAATACGAGTGAACAAGTTGCATTTTGGTGGGAGAGTTGAAAGGAGGGGAATTTTACTAACTATGAAAGTACACAATAAAAAAAGGTAGATGTAAAACTTTTTTTTTAAACAGGATTTTTTAGTAATTTAACCACTAAAATCAACTAAGAGCAGAAGGAGAGCATGTTTGTTTAGTCCAGTGGCTAAGCTCCACCCCAGACAAGATATTTTCATTTTCAACACATGATACATAAGAAAAGGAAAATGTGAACCACAGGAATGGAATAAATATTGAGGACAAAAGCAAAGTGTTGAATATATTATAGTCACACTAAATCTTAAATGAATAAGCACTCTAAACTATAAAGGAAAAACTAAGCAACAAAGTTATTTTATATGCCAAATGTCCCCACAGATGAATAAAAAGCAGACATTAAAATTCTTGTAAAATGGCAAAGAAATTATGATTAATATGTTCCTGGTACAAGGTAATGATCACATTATACATGTAAAAAAAAATGAAAATATGAAAAATCTTCGTGACAAGGATAGTGGAATCATTTAATGAATCAATCCCAATGTACACTGAATGTTGGATATAGGATTTATCCTAAAATACTGTACTTCAACTCAAATGTTCAGAAAATTATCTACATTGGAAAACATTATCTGGAAAAGACTCAGATGGATTGGAGGGATCTAACTTTGAAACTTACTAGCATAATAACGTTCTGACTGGCAGCCAGCTTTTGAGCAGCCATAATCTTCTATAGCCCAGAATCTCAAAGAAAGATAGAAGTAAAAAGGACCAGTGAAAATAGACACAACAAAACCTATGTACTTATTACATAGTTAAGGATTAAAGACTCTCCTTTTTCAGACTTTTTCAGACACACATAGAATATATGCGACTTAATTTGATAAAAAGTACTTCGCTGTCTAGTTTCTTATTATTTCTTCAATTTTACACTTAGAGTTGAAAAAAATAGCAGAGGTCATGGATAACAGGTTCGATAGCAAGAAAATGGAGAGGATGTAGAAGAAAGAGATCCACTGATAAGAGTGTGATGTATATACCAAGAACAAAGATGTTTCCAAGGACACAAGAGACAACTGAAATTTAATCTAGGTGAATTCAGTAAAAAGACAAGTTAATCAAGTTCTTTCTACTTTAGGAATTTTTGTGGCCATCACTCTATGAAAACAAGTACTAAAACTTGTTATGTAAGTGTGTCCCCAAATTACCAAAGGTAAAATTGTTGATTAACTCAAGAACAATAACTTAATCACTAAAACCTAAAAAAAAAAAAAAAAATCTATTTATATATACCCTCTAAAGCTATCTATTTTTAGCATAAGTACATGGAACGAAAACCTTATCTATCCAAAATACTGCATAGCCTCTGAACAGTGTCACATCATTTGGGCCTAACCGTAGAAACCTCAGATTATTTGAGAAAGTATGAAATTGTGGTGGCCAAGTGGCAAACTTTCTACAAGACGTCTGATGAACCTGGCAACTGCTGAGGTCCTGTTTTAGTAAGAATGAAACCCATGTAGTTTGACTTCAAAGGATCAGATTTAGAATTAGCCATGAGACTAAAAGCTGGAAAAATATTTCTACTGTAACCATAGCAACTTGGAAAAAATTTCCAAAATATGTAGTGGTCACTTGTAATGTTCCCTGATTTTTGATACCCTTCCTGTGTTTGATGAATTTCTAGCCTTACGAGGTATGACTCCCCTAGGTAAAACCCAGAAAACATAGTTATCTATCTTGCTTTATTCCCAGGGCTCTGCTAATCAGAGTCAACTGTGATGGACTTTGATTTAGCAGAATGAGAGGAAGGAAGCGCTGTATAGCATCCATTTTGCTCATAAGGATGAGACACATTCAACTGTTGGCTACTGCAATGGTTGCATTAAGCAACAGGCTCTTAGGGGGCTTGATGGGAATGTTGCAGCAAAAGGGGACTTATCTTTAAGCAAGTTTTGTGGTACAGTTTTGGTATTGTTTCTAGAAGCTCGACCTTGACCCTGGTTCTCTAGCTCTCAACAATTTGGTCAACTACTCAATTTCCTTTTAATAAATTTTTTACTGCTTAACTGCCCAGAGACAGCTTCTGCTGCTTAAGAGGAAAACCCTGGTTGATACTAAATGGCTATTAAGAAGTAGCTGAAGGCAATTTAGCCTCAGGAAAATCAGGAAGATCTATGGCTAGTTCTGGCTCTCTAAGGGCTGATGGCTCTAAAATTCCAGCTGTTTCTGAAAGAAAAAAAAAAAAAGTCAAGTCTGGCAGCCTGCAGTTAGCAAAGTAACAAATTATTAACTATAGTCACTTGAAATGAAGTGACCAATGAAGGCAAGACTTCTGAAGATCCAGTGGCTACTAACATGGAACAACAATATAAAGAGTAATGAAGAAGACGAGATTCTTGACTGGCTTTTAATTCCACAGCACAGCTTTTAAAAAGATAACGAAATGTTTACAATTCCAAATTCTCGGTTCAAGGCAAAAATCACAGCCAAGAGCTATTCCCTAATGTTCCCGGGGAGGGAAAAAGCAGCATCAGTGAACAACACTGTCTACCTTTTACAAACCAGGAGTGCTCCTGGGTATCGCTGCTTTCAGTGTAGATAGTGGGATGCTGAGGTGGCCGACCTCAGGCAGAAACACTTAGATGCAAGAGGCAGGAGGAGGAGGTTACTGTTCTTACTAGGAGAGTTAAGTTTAATCAGAATGCTCTGGCCTGCACTGACCATTGGCTTTGACTACTGGATCAAATGATCCATACACCAGATAGGCATCCAAAAAAATCCCAACTTAATAAAATTATAAGGTATCTAGGTTTAATAAAGAGAGGCCTGACTTGAACCACTAAAACAAAAATTTGTAACATCTTTTCCAATTTCTAGTCCTAAGACACTTTGCAGACCCAGAGCTCTTTGAGTGAAGGCGAGAGTGCAAGTTCCTGAAGACATGTATCGTAATGACATCACAGGTGTAAACTGTAAACTCTCAGCTTGGCCTCTTCCATCAAGGTAACTGCACTGGAGAAAGGGATATACCAGGTCTTTTGGGTACTGTTGTAGAATAGCTCTGAACTAACTCTAAAAGACGGGGGACCCAGAATACCACTGTGGGCTAGTGGTCACAAAGGACGATTGTGGGAATCAAATGATGAGTGGATGGAATTCTAACCTGTATCTGCCTCACATTCAGTCCAGGAGGACATTAAACACAGAGAGTATATAGCTGGCATTGGAGAAGGAGAGTAGATTACCAGAGGCTTAATCAGATAGTGGTTTCATATGCAGTTGCTCTTGCAGATGTGCATTCGTTGCTAGCGCTCGGCACCAGGTATACTCAGACTATTCATCTGCACATGACTTTTTCCTTCTTC